TGGGTGAGGGGCAGGACCTGCTGGGCTGGCAGACGGGCTCACTGCCTTGACCGGGGGGATGTGGTCTCGGGTGCATGTGTGTGTCCAAACCTAGGACACCATGTGCAGTCCGTCCAGTGTCTATTATACCTCAGTAAAGCAGTTAACCCCTCAAGTGGTCTTTTGGAACCCAGTGGCCCCACTGTGAGGAGCACAAGCACAGGGAGAGGCCACCTGCAGACGTTCTGGTGGGCAGCCCCAGAGCCCCAGCTGGCAGCCGCCTCCCGTCACTTGCATGGAGCCCTGTCGTGGGTCCCCTGACGTCCAGGTGCAGCAGTAGCTCTGGTGTGCGGAGGGGCAGGGAGCCCCCTCCTGGGCAGTGTGTGGCTGCAAGCTGGGGGTCCTCGGTGAGTCCAGAGGACACTGCCCTGCCCCATCCAGCTGCCCACCCCCACCCCAGGTCAGTCACGTGGGCAGTGCTACCCTCCTGTGGGGCAACCCTCTCCAGGGAGCTGTCCCGGGCCGACTGCACCGCGGGCTGTGGGAGAGCAGGTGGTCCAGGTATGGGCAGGACTGAAGGGAGGGGGCGATGGTGCAGACGGGAAGGCGGACGGCCCGGACAGGAAGGGGAGAAACGGGGAGGAGGCAGGAGGGACGGAGAAGAAGGGCACGGGGAGCCCTCGGCAGCCTGCGGGGCCCAGAACCAAGTGCCCGCTGTGGGGAAGGTGCGCGGAGGACGGAGCAGGGCCTTCGGGGAGAACCAGAGGGGGGCGCCCCTCGGGCCTCCCTGTGCTGCCGCAGCGGGGCGGTAGGGGCCGCGGCCCGGGAGGCCGGAGGCTGGGGGCTTGGCCAGGGACCAGGCTGGACACAGGGCGTCCAGGGCCCCAGGCCAGCTGAGGGGGAGGCTGGGCCGTCAAGGGAGCGTGAGGACAGAGGTGCCAGGCACGGGGTGGGGGGCACAGAGCCACCCTCGCTTTAACTGAGAAAGGTGTTCTCGATGGCACGCTGGGAGCCAGGGGCGGGCCAGGAAGGACAGCCACACCTGTGCCCCCCGCCTGGCCGAGCCACGGGCTCCCAGGCCCGCGCTGTCGGGGTTGCAGGTCAGGCAGGCCACGTCCGAGGGCCGGTCCCCGGGGCGGGCACTCAGGCCCGAGAGCCCCGGCCCCCTGGGCAACGCCGCCGGCAGGTGCAGCCGAGGCAGGGGCGTCGGCCTGGGGGCGGGGGCGCGGCGCAGACCCGGGCACCGCGCCCCCCGCCCGCGTCAGCCCCTGCGGCGCCACACGCCCCACTCTCCAGTTAGGCGACGTCCGGGGGGACACCCGTTGCGTGCCCCGCTTCTGCTTTTCCTTTTTCCTCCTCCTGCTGGAAGGCAGGGGACGAGCCAGGCCGCCCCGGGCGGGGGCGGGGATGCTTCCGGGGAGGGGCCGGCCCGCGGCCGGGGCAGGATGGGCGCTCCGACCGCGCCCGCCACGAGGCAGCCCGCTTCGCCCACGGGGCGTCCGGGGGGTTGGTTCTCTGCGGAGTTGGGCACATCCCCCGCGCCTGCAGGGCGCTGACGGAGCGCTGCGTTCCGTGCTGTTGCAGAGCCCTGGGTGATCGCGTGTCGGTCCCATTTTAACAAGCAGCCTTCTGTGCCGGACACCCGCGCTGGTTGCGGTGCCCTCGGTGGGTGCGGGATTGGTGTCCATTTTGTTCTGTTCTACTTTTCTGTGTTGCTTGAGGGTTTTCTTAACAACAGTATTTTTTTTTAATGGAAAAAATTCACACACTTGCGCGCCCCCCGTGCAGGGCGCCACCTGTGTATCCGATGTTAGTGTGTGTGCTGCCAAAGCGAGCATTAGGCAGCTTTAGACGTAACCCACTGGCAGAGAAAACCCAGCCCGACGCTCCAGTTCAGGATGGACTTCAGTCGGTAGGTTTTGCAGCAGTGGGGAAAATTCCACGTGAACCAAGCCCATTCCGATCTGTGCTGTGAGTGTGTAAGGGGAGAATGAATCAGCGAGGGAGCGATCCCCGCCCACTGCTGCAGGCCTGCTGGCGCCGCTGCGGCCGGCCGGAGCTCAGAGTGGGGCGAGGGTCATCCTGGGCTGCGGCCTTGGGCTGTCGGAACCCGTGTGTCTGCTCAAGTTTGTAGGCCCAGTGGAGAGAGAACTGGGCTAGAGGGGCCTGGCTAGTTTGGACAGGGAGACAAAATCTTTATCACCACATACCATACAACGGGACCATTTGAAGTGTACAATTCATTGGTTTTCAGTATATTCAGGGATATGCAGCCATGGCTGTGATAATTTTGGAGCATGTCCATCAGTCCCAAAGGCCCCCCCCCCTCAATCCCCAAGGCAGGCGCTCCCCATTTCCCCATCCCCTCGCCGCAGGTGCCCACGAATCCAGGTTGCATGGCTGTGGATGTCCATGCCTGCCACATCGACGGCCATACAGCTGTGGCCTTTGTCTGGCTTCTTCCACTCTGCAGAACGTTCTCAAGATCCTGTGCTGTCGTGTGTCAGTTTTTTCCTAACTTTTTATTGCCAAATACTGCATTGTACAAATATACCACGTTTTATTGACCCCCTCTGCCAAGTGGTGGATATTGGGTTGTTTCTGTCCTTTGGCTATTGCTGCGTGGACATCTGTGTGCGAGCATCCTGTGGACATGCTTGTCACCCCTGTAGCAATTGGCCCAAACTTGGTCAGTGACCACCAACTTCCCTAATTTCTGCCTCTGCTTCCAACCCAGGACCAATCAGAGCCAAATACATCCCCGTGCCAATTCCACTAGGCACACCGCCTTGTCACCCCACAGCTTCCCCAGGCCCCAGCCTCCAAGGCCCCCTTTTCCTGATGAGGCTGTTCCCCTCCTCTGCCTGCCTGCGTCTCTGCTAGGCAGGTGGCTGCCACCCTGCTCAAGCAAGTGCTGAGCACTTGGCGCCCACCTGTGCTCCTTCGGCAGTTTCCACTCGTTTCCACGAGTTGTGGGTCTCGATCCATTCCGAGTTGATTTCCGCGCAGTGCAAGGGGAGGGCAGTCTCTGCTCTGGCACGTGGATGTTCAGCATCCAGCGCCATTGGTTGAAGGGAGCTTCCTTTCTCCATTGAATGGCCCTTGCGCCCTTGTTGAGATTTCTTGACAATACCACGGAATGTTTTGTAAACTGTAAGGTCTTTAAGAAAAAAGGCCGAGGTGACCATGAAATGCTGCCCAAATGTGAAATTAGTCGGCTTCATTCCTTGAGGCCAGATGGCCTGCAGGAGGGGCGGTGTGGACCAGGGGCTGCAGATAGCCCACCCACCGCTCAGCTCACACTCAGGCTGGTCTCCATCCCACGTAGACGGGAACACAGGGGAACTTGGGCTTGCACACCCCCTGGGGCTGCTTTTGCACCTTTCCAGCCCCAGCTACGGCCTCTGGGGAGCTTAGACCACAGCCCTCCCGTGCCCTGGAGTCCCTCCCAGCGTGCCCTCTGCACCCTGCCCTGCAGCAGTGCACCCTGCCAAACCAGATGAGGCACTTTGTCCCTCTGGTCCTGGTCCAGGGAGGCACTGTGTAAATGGGGCCAGCTGGGAGGAGGCTGGTGAGATGCCAACTTCCCAGGTTGCCCTGGCACATTTGCATGTAGTGAGATGATCCCAGGGCTCTGAATCAAAGCAGCTTTAAGGGGAGAACGTGGCTCCCAAGCAGCCCGTCTCTGGCATTTGCTGCCTTTTTAATGCTCCTGGTCTGAGAGGCAGCCGACCCCTCATGACCTTGCTGGCTCACCCCCTCCACACACGGTCAGCACTCAGTGTGGGTTCCCACTGCCCTGGCAGGGGCACCCGTGCAGGCATTGGGCTGGTGCCTCGACCGTGTGAGCCCGTGCTCTGGCTCCCCACCCGCCTGGAGCCTGAAAGTGGGGCTCGGCCTGTGTGTCCTCTGGGCCATGGCTCTTTGGTGCCCACCTCCAGAACCTGAGCAGACCCCTCTGGAAACACCCATCCCTGGACCATGCACCGGGAGCTGCACCTCTGCCCAAGTGCTGGCCCCCAGAACTGGGTGGGGCCCGGGTACAGAGCTGTCTGCTGGTTTAAGGTAATTTGGTGACAGAATTGAGAAGAAAGGCAACAAAATCTGGCTGATCCTGCAGGGAAAGGCCAGGAGGGCGTGCTGGAAACGGGCGGGACCTCGCTGTCCTGGGCTGGAGGCCCCAGGACTCCAGAGGTAAACCGGCTGCCACCTGCACACAACAGCTGCAGAAAGTTGGCAGCCGACTGACCACCATGTTTTTTACATACAGTGTAAAAATTAGTCATAGTTAGGTTACATTAAAAAAAAAAACTCCTTTGGAGAAGTGCTTAAGTATCTATCTACAAACACATCTGGGGTTTGCCTCCAAATAACCCCAGACGGGGTGAGGCCTGAGAGGTGAATGCTCACTACCTAGGCTAGGCAAGTGTTTATTGTCTCCAGAGCAACCGTCACCACCGATCTACTTTTAATGCATGAAACGCTCCACAGCCATCTCCTTGCTCAGGGACGAGATTCCAATGTCCAGTGAGCTGCAGAAAGACCACTGTCCATCTGGGGCCAGCTCTACCTCCTGTCCTGGGGTCCCTGAAGCCCTCAGGGTGGGGCCCATACAAGCTCCCAGACCGCCTATCTGTCCGGGGGTCTTCGATCCAAAGACCCAGCCCCTTCTGGGCTTGCTAGACACCTGGTCAGTGCCCAAGACCATCAGCATGCTCAAACGTGTGTGTGGAGGGGTCCTGTGGCCCTCACGTGCTTGCCAGGAAGGGATGACCTGGACACAGTAACCCCACTGCTCAGACCACAGCCTTGCCCCTTTCTCTCCTTGCCCTACTTTCGGGCTGATGCCTCCCCAGCACCCCCCAGTTCCTTCTTTCCAGCCCTGGGACCGTGGCCCTGGCCCCCATAAACTGGAGAGCCCTCTGTGAGACATGGGGTCGGGGGGGTGTCTTACCACCCCTGGCCTGAAGGGCAGCCCCAGCCCAGGGTCGGCCCGGGCACAAGGACCGTGTACACACAGAGCAGTTCACCACATTTTATTAGCACCCCCTGCAGACCCTCTCTGGGCTGGGGAGACGGGCCGCTTTGGCAGCGAAACCCCAGCGATGGCATTTTGGCTGACTGGCCACCACCACAGGAGGCCTTGTGATGACCGCTTTCCATATGGGGCACACCCCACAGCCCACCTCTGCCCGGGGAGCTGAGGGGCACCGTGAACCCCCTCAAGATGGCAGCCGCCTCTTGCCGCTGAGTTTTGGCCAAAGTAATCATTAAAGCAGCTTGGGGTGGGTGAGCAGGGGAATGAGGGCTTGACTGCCACTGGCAGCACCCTTGGGCCGCATGCTCAGACCCTCCCCCAGGCACACGTATGCTGTCCCTGTGTCATTTGCATACTGGCCCAGAAGCTGTGGGGGCACAGCTACCTTTCAGGATGTCAGAAAAGCCATGGTCCCTGTCCTAAGATGAGAAAGACGAAGTGCATGTGAGCACGTGTGACTTGGTGAGCAGTGCTGGGGCCCTCACCCCCTACTCTGCCCACCCAGGTCCTTCATGAAGCTGCCGGACGGTGCTGTGGGCCCTGACAGCCGCTCAGTGAGAGGGAACCTTGGGGACCAGAAGAGAAGGGGCTGGGAACCCCGGACCTCAGAAAGCTGGACAGTCCACCCCTCCCACCTCCAGCGCCAACTGCCGACTCACGGAGAAAGCCAAGCCGAGCCTGGACACCGGTCCTCCCAGTGAGCCTTCAGGGGCAGGGAGGGCCGCTGGGGCACCAGGTGGGGAGAGCCCGGGTGGGCGGGGGGAGGCGGAGGGGACGCAGGTCCTGGGAATGGGCTTGGCCCAGGCAGGCTGGTGCGGCAGGAGCCTGCTGGGGTGCTAGGGAAGGTCCTGGGTGACCAGGCACCGGGGCAAGTGCTGGGCTCAGGGTGGCAGTTGGCCTGCTGACCCTCCAGCACGCTGGAGGAAGCCGGCCCTGGCTCGCACATGGTCCAGCCTGCCCCGCCCAGGACCATCAAGGCGACACCTTGGTGCCAAAGTGTTTGCGAAGCTGTTCCAAAAACACGAACGTGAGCACGGTGTGGGGCACGAGGCGGATGCCAGCAGGGAAGAGGCCCTGGGTGGAGGAAGGAGGCATGAGGAGCCCAGAGAGGGGCCCCCGCCCGCTGCCCTGACCCCGCCCCGCCCCCGCCCCACCTTGTAGAAGGCCAGTGGCCCCAGCTTCGCAGTGTCCATGGCGCAGTGCAGAACGCCCTGCAGGAAGGGCAGAGCCAGCGGAGGAGCAGCTCTTCTCAATGATCGGCCCGAACCAGAACGAGCCCTGCCAGGGCCCGCGGTGGCCCCACATATGGGGTGGGCGTGCAAGGAGGGCTGGAACGGTCACAGCGACCGCAGGAGGCAAGGCGGGGCGCGTGCGCAAGGCCAGCGGCCGCCCTGGCTCCTGACGCGGCCAACCCAGAGGCCCTGGAGGTGCCCCAGCGCGGGGCCGTGACCAGAACTGGCAGGCGGGACAGGGGCAGGGGCAGAGTCTCAGCTACTAAAGACACAGAAGGCACTGTGCATGCGGGTGACGCCCCTGAGGGTGCTGCACCCACTAACTTGAATGGCACTGCACCACTTCACTGACTGCAGCGAGCAGGATGATTGGGCATGGGGTCAAACACTCTGATTTAAGAACACCCAAGGCCAAGTGCTGCTCCAAGATGGGCTGGGATGAGGTCACGGGTTCACCCAGCCACTGAGCCCAGCAGCGGCAGGACAGGACCCCTGCCCATGTTCCCAACCTAGCTCCTGGGCCTGTCCTCTTAGAGGGACTGGTGACTGCAGCCCCCACTCACCTGATACTCGCCCTTGGCGTTCATCAGGCGGGTCTTGAGCACATCTAGGGGCTGGCACAGGAACGTAGCACACCCACCCTAGTGGGGGACCGTCACCAATGGGCCTTCCAGGCGGGGGGGCAGGTGCCCCACACATTCGCCTCGCAGGCCTGCTCTGGGACGTCCCTGGCCTGCATTCCTAGGATACCCCAAGGCCTGCAGGAACTGGGACCACGGGGGGGACACCAGAACTCCCCTGGCTCAGGCACCAGGTGACCTGTGAGCTCCTCCCCAGGGCCCAGAACCGACCAGACTCACCCACAGCATTCTGCCTTCTGGGCCCTTGCCTCGGCTCCCAAGGCTGGTCCGGAACCCCCCACCCCCATCACCCCAGCACTCACTGCGATGAAGCTGGCCACGAGGTGAGTGAAGATGCCGTCGGACAGGTACCCTGTGCTGAGGACCAGCTGCTTGGCCTGGTCATAGCAGGACAGCTGGAGGAGGAGGAAGGGTGGTCAGGGTCCAAGGGATGGCTCCCAGCTCCTGGGAAAGCAGACACATCCACAGGGACACCGCCTGGATGGACCACACACCTACTCTGTGGGTCACCAACACAGTCACCGAGCCTGGGCGGACAGGTGAGGCCCCAGCACAGAGGGGCCTGTGCAAGATCATGCATCTGACTGCCTTTGCCCCCCTCCTCAGCCCCGACCTGCAGGCCATGCCCACTGCCTTCCTCCGGGATCTTGGGGTACCGAGGCCGGGCTCCCCACACGCTGCCACAGCACATGCCCTACCTGGCCCACGGTGACAAGCATCCCTCGGCTGGATGCCATGGTTGCGCCCGAGAACAGCTTCTTCAGACCCTCTGCCGAAGGGAGGGGGTCAGGCGCCGGTCCGCATCCCTCAGGCCTCCCCCCAGGTCCTGCACGAAGCCCCTCACCCCCTCTACGTCCTCAGGACCCTCCCCGGGGCCCCACCTGAGGCCGCCCCAGGTTTGCTCAAAGGGCCTCATCTTCTCACCTTCTCGGGCCACACGGTACAGGCCGTCCAGGGCGTGAGCATAGCTGCCAGGGGACACAGCACGGGTCCACGTGAGGCTGCCCCTGAGCACCAGCTCCCACAGGAGCGCCCTCCCAGGAAGAGCCAGGCCAGCAAGGCCACGGCGCTCTGAGGAGCACTGCTCAGCGCGGGCCCCCCGTAAGGGGCCTCGGCACCTGAGCCCACCTCCCCCAACTAGTTCCGCAAGGAAACGCCCAGGCACCAGCCGCTTTGGGGGGTGCTGGCTCGGAGGCAGGTCTGCGGGCTGTGACCAGGGTGGGGGCACGGGCAGCCCTGCGGGGCCCTTGCATCCCCCTCCTTCCGTGGCCTATGCTCTGGCTGGAGGGGGCCACAGGCTCCCCCCGAACAGGCTGAAGCTGACTCCTGAGTTTAACTGAGGCCTCAATTTGTAAACACAGCTTGAGAGCTGACAAGTGTCCTAGACTTTGTGAAAAATGGTATTTTTATTATTAGAACAAGAAAAAGGGTCCCAGCCCCCAAATCCTTCTAAAGGCCCAAACTCACTCAACCTAAACCATCCTCCATGCAAACATGTTCAAGGTACAAGCAAGTGGGCCACGACAAGCCCCTTGGACCCTCCCAGCCCCCCCGCACCCCAATGCCAGTCAGTTTCCGCCCACATGGAGCGAAGCCAGAAGTCCTGGGGGCGGAAGCAGTGTGTTCCCACAGCTGCCAGCTGCACCTGCTCTGCTCCAGGTGACCCCCGCCTCCCAGGCTGCGGCACCTCTGGAGTCCCAGCTAGGCCCTGGCAGCTGCTCGGGAGTCTCGCGGGCCTGGGCTCCCCTGCACCTCCCAGTCACACCTCAGGGGCAGAACTGAGCCCATGACTCACTTTCGGCGCTGATTCTGGGGCAGCTTCACGTCATTCTGCATCCTGAAACCACCAGGCTGGCTCAGGCGGGGGCAGGGGTCAGACACGCCCTGCACAGACCCCAGAGGGCATGCGGGGCCCCATCACAGGGTTAGCAGCACCCCCTCCCAAGGCCCAGGCCTCCAAAGGCCAAGGGGCTTTTATTCCAGGCTGAGTACCCTGCAGACCGAGCCAGTGAGTCCCAGCACTCAGGGGACAGGAAAGACCTTGACCATGAAGGAGCCACACTGACCTGACGTTGACCATATCTGCAGGGGTCCCCACGAAGCCTCCAATGCAACCTGGAGCGACAGACCCCAGAGCCACAGTGTGAGGGGCTGGTGAGGTCTGCCTGCCCAGCCCACCTCTGCCCTCCTGGCAGCTCACCGCTGATGGAGCCCAGCAGCACCTTCTTATAGAAAGGCAGGGGCCCCTGGCTGTCCTTGGTCACTTGGTCCCGCACAGTCTCGTAGATGGCAAACCGCGCCAGGGAGTAGGTCATCTGGGGGGAAGGGGCCCAGCTCAGAGGGTGCAGGTGGAGGGGCTGTGCTGGGCACGTCTGCACCCCTCGGCCCTCCCCATTCCAGCCCTCGGGGTATGTGGTCATCACGATGTGGACCACAGGGACACCAAGGTGTCCTCCCAAGACCGTGTGGCTAGCAAGCAGCGGAGCTAATTTGCAAACCCGGGGCCGGCTGATTCCAGAGCCCTGCACCCTCTCCCCTCCCGGGCCGCAGCTTCCCCATCCTTAAGTGGAGGTCTCAGGCCAGCTGTGGGGGCAGGGCTGACCCTGCAAAAGCAGAAGCGCCCCGCACACCCCCTCGCTCTACGTCAGCTCCCCAGGCCTTGTGGGTCTTCTTAAGCAGCCCTGAAAAGGAGGAGGAAGCAGCTTGGGCGCACACAGGGCGCACACAGTGGGTAGGAGGCCCAGCCACATCTGAATGCTGGCCTGGGAGACACCAGCCACCCCCTCAGCCTGCATGGCTCGGAGCTGCGAACTTGGACCAGGGCCTAAGGGAACCCCTTGGAAGAGCCCTGGCCACGAGTCCCCCCCATGGCTGAGGCACCTGTCTGCACAGGGAGGCGCTCAGGCCGTTGTAGAGCGCCAGGATGCCGTCGGAGCGCACCACCTGCAGTGCCATGCCCGTCATGCGCAGCCTCACCTCCTGCTGCGTCTGCAGATGGACCTGGAGGGGCAACATCTGCTCAGAGCTGCTCCCGACCCCAGGCCTGCTCCGCTCTAAGCCTTTCCACAGCTACTGCCTTGACACCCTCAGATGACCCCGTGAAGGCAAGTGCCACCAGCATCCCCAGTTAGAGACAGGAAACTGAGGCACAGGGGGGCAGAGGCTGGGAGGTGCGACTCCACGCTGACACTTGGCAGCAACCTCTGTGCCCCGCTATTGTTTCACAGGGGCAATCCCTGCTGTCACGTGAGGCAGGCGCATTAGAGGCTCTACAGGCATGTCTCAGTCCTCAGCATCTGCAGAGGGGCAGGGCTGTCAGCCCCACTTCACCTGTGAGGAGACTGAGGCAGGGTTTGGACCCCGACAGGGCACTCTTTACCCAAGCCCACCGCTCAAGAGGTTGTGGGTATAACCTCATAGCAAAGAGTAATGGGGACTTGGAAGAGGTGGGTGGGGATGGAGGAAGCCTCATGCCCAGTTCAGCCATGCAAGCCAAGATGGACAGGGCAGGGGGCACTGGGCCTGAGGGCAGGGCAGCCACGTGGGCAGCAGCCCCAAGGAGCAGTGTGAGGACTGAGCCAGGACGTGGGGCAGAGGGAGAGAGCAAGCAGCTCTAAAATGATTTTTCCAAGGACCATGCCGAGAGGTGAAGACCCCGGCCAGGACCCCCATGGCTGCCAGTGACTAACCACTGTACCTCACACAGGGCCACTGGGGCAGAGGGCAGCCAAGGTCCTGCGGCCATCTGCCTCCCCTGAGGCCCTCCTGGCAGGCAGGGGTTCTGCCGCAAAAAAAACCCAGCACCTGGGGGTGGGGCAAGGGGACGGCGACACCCAACAGGGCCTTGGACAATGGACATGGACCTCGAGGCTGGCCTGGGGCTGAGGGGGGCTCCGAGGGCCCTTGGAGGCCGTAAGCACCCCATCAGAGGCCCCACAGGGGCGGGGGCAGGGACGCAGGGGTGTGCTTGAGCACCTGGAAGGATACAAGCGATACCCAGAGAGGTTCCTTTCCCCAAACCAAAAAGCACCTTCCTCTCCACTGCCACTGCCCTCTGGCTCTGCAAGGCCACCTCTCGGGCCCTGCGGGCTACCAGGAGCGCAGCCCTCTCCCAGGGAGAGCCAGGCCTGGGATCTGCTGAGTCTGCTAATCAAGAAAACCAAACTCCTCCCTTTAGGAAAAAGGCTGCTGAAAGCTGCCCTCAGGCAGGGGGCCTGGCTGGGTGCCAGGTCTGCTGAGGCTTGGGTCAGCCTGGCCGCAAGGGCTAGTCCCTCCCAGAGGGCCTGTAAGGGGTGCAGGCTGCTTTGGGGTGGGGGTAAGGAAGCGGTGGCCAGGTGGCAGTCCCATGTGACCACAGCTCAGGTCCCCAGGGCAAGGCCTCCTGAGCAAACTAAACTTAGGCCTCTGGCCCACCCTCCTTTGTTCTCTGTAGTGAGAAAGAAGCAGAAAACACCCCCCCCACCCCCGTTGCTGCCCTGGGAGACAAGTGAAGCTCTGTTTCATTGTGCCCCATAAACAACTTTCTAAAAAATGTAGAAAGTGGGAAAGCTTCTCACCACCCTTGGTAAGGCAGAGCGTTCATGCACGCAGGCCCCATGGCTTCCAGGTGCCCACACAGTCCAAGAGGAACCAGCCCAAAGCAGGGGTGCCTGGTCAGCCCACTGGCTCAGGCCACATGCCTCCTTCCCTCTCCCTCAGTGAGGACTGGGCACCCACTAGGCAGGGGTAGCGGCCTGGTTCGTGCCCTGGGCGTGCTAGAGCCCAAGTGCTTCTCCAAGTGCCAACAGCTGTGCACCCCACCAAACCACCCCCTCACCTTGTAAGCAGGCAGAACTTGTGTCCTCAGAAGCCAAACTGGCTCAGAGAGACCCAGTGACTACCCCAAGGTCACACAGGGTGGAAAGCACAGACCAGAGCCTGGAACTGGGCGCCAACGACGGGGAGCCGGCCCGGCCCCTCCCCCGCCCCCGGGGTTGTAAAGGCCCGGGCATCTCCTTCCACCCCTTCAGCAGGGCCCCCGGGCGGGTGGGGTAGTGGGCTGATGCCCTGCGGGATCCCGGCAGAGCAGAACCAGGCTGGCCAGTGGCGGCGGGGGCGGAAGACCCCGGCGCCTCCCCTCGCACCCTGCCGCCCGCCCCGGCCCCGGCTCCGGCCCCGGCCCCGGCCCCGGCTCCGGCTCCCGCCCCGGCCGGCCCTCACCTTGAGCAGGTCCAGCGGGTGCGTGCAGCAGGCGGCCCCGCAGGAGGCCAGCCCCCCGAAGTACCAGCGCGACACACGCGTCTCGGTCGCCATGATCCGCCGAGGATCGCCGCCGCCTGCTCGGCCCCGGCCCCGGCCCCGATGCCGACCCCGACCGCAACCCCAACCCCGACCCCGGCCCGGGCTCCTACACAAGTCCCAACCCGCCCCGCCGCCCGCGAGCGTTCAAAGAGCCGCCCGCCGCCCGCGCCCGGTGCAGCCAATGCGCCCGCGCAGCGAGGGGGCGGGGAGAGACAGACTCCGCCCACGGGGCGGGGCCATGGCCTTAAAGCGAGCGCGGCGGCCAAGTTGGTGAACCGGAGGGCGCGGGCGGCGCCTGTCCGCGGGAGGCGGCTGGGCGGCCTCTGCCCCTGCCCCCCGGGGTCCGCCCCCGCGCCGGGGGCGTGTCTCCGGAGGCCACGGTCGCCGCGCCCTCACCTCCCGCCCCGCGCGGCCTCCCGCAAACGCCGCGCCCGGCGTCCCTCGCCACGGCGCCCGCCCTGCGCTACCGAAGAGCAGAACGCCTCCTGGGCCAGGCCGAGGACTGCAGGAAGCCCGGGGCTAGGCCAGTTCGGAGACCAGACGCCCGCTCCCGCTCCCGGCCACGGGCAGCCCTGGGCAGCCACCTGGGGGAGGCGGGAGGCGGGGCGCGGGGGTTCGGGGTCCCCGACTCGGGTCGCCCTGGCCTCAGCAGACGCGTCCACCGCGCGCAGCTTCCCCCTCTCATCCCACCTCCCGGCAAACACGAAACGCAGGTGTACTTCGAGCGTGAAGGGGCACAGCTGGGCAAGGCGAATCCCGTCCCCAGGGCCGCTCTGGGCAGGGCCACGTGGACCGGGCGCCCTTTGCAGGTGGCAGCTACTGATCTGAGGTGGGGCCAGAGACCCCTTCCTCAGAGAAGGACCTGTGTCCTTTAGCCACTGCAGCCTCCCACCCCAAAAGAGAAGGGTAAGGGGAAACGATTCCTGGTTCCCTCAACCCGCTGAGCCCCTGAATAACCAGTGCCCCCTGGCCTCTGAGCAATGCCTGGGCAAACCCCGCCATTTGCTTAAAGTGACCACTTGGAGGCACTAAGACTTTTAGAACCCCAGGCGGCCTCCAACCCGAGGTAACCAGCTGGGGAAGCGAAGAGCAGGCCAGAGAGATGGTGTCCAGGCCCAGAAATGCCTTCAGTGGGGG